CGTTAATAGGCTTCAAACCTCAGGTGACAGGTAGGAGGACAACAAAAGGCTTATACCTGTATTTTTTTTACACTTAAATACCTTTTATATAAAATATATAAACAAGACAGATCCGGTTTAAAACGCTTCTGAAGAACTTTTTGTGCGCTGAGGCGCCCTCTGGTGGCTCTGATGTTGAACTACAGTTGGACGGTGAACCTGACCTTTAACCTTTACATTTTGTGACTCTTTTCTCTGCAGAGACTTTAACCTGGAGGCGTGTCGCTGACCTCCATGTGATGATCTCCAGCGCAGTTATTTCCATGCTGGGATGGAGACTTTACACAGAAAAAATCACTCAGATCTTCCAGCAGGAGGAGGGCAGGTACTGCTTGTGTCTACAGAAAACTGATTTTTAGTTTTAATATGACCTCTAACCATTTTGTAAGACATGTCCTACACTATAAGCCATTATTAAGTTACTTTTCTTCCTTTAGAGAATTTTCTGGTCTGTTATTGACGGCCATTTGGCTTCTCTTGTGTCGACACTCTGGAAGGTAATTTTTCATTCTTTGCACAACTTTCATTCCTCGTTCATTCATGACACTGATAAATAAAGCTTTACATGGAATATGTTTTTGTTCTGCCGTCTGTCAGAGCTCCTGTTGGGATGCTGCGAGTCTCCACAGCTGCTGCCATCACAGTTTTCCCCATCGTTGCCTGGCTCTACTACTACATCAACACAGAGCTGAGGACAAACTGGCCTTCACACTGTAAAACTGCTCTTTAGGCAGAAACATTTCTCCGTTTTCTGTCTGGTGAAACATTCCAGTTTTTCCTGTTTGACTGAAAATACTTAATGAAAAATGGCTGCTGTGTTAGATTAATTAAACAAGTTTATAAGAGCTGAAGTGCACTAAAATTAATATTTTTTTTAATTCAAGGATTATCGCAAACATTATTTTCTTAACTGTGAAAATTATTTTTATAAAAAATGTTCATTATGTATGATTTATATCCATAAAATGAAAATATTTTTATTAAATGAAGTGCAATCTGTGAATAAACAAAAC